CTTGGTAATCCTATCGGATCGGCATTTGGCCGAGCTGATACGTAGGATGCGGGGGATGCATCATGCCGTTTGCATCGGCCTTCAGCTGGGCCGATGCTAACGTCAACCTTGGGTATGGTCCAGTTCGCATGGGTGTCTGACGGAACGGCACGTGTTGGTCAACGTGACCGATAGGGTCCTCCCGGTACACAAGCCCCCCAGCCTTGAGGAGTGAAGCAACGTAAAGGATAAATGTGAAGGGAAATAGTGTACTTTGGCTGCTGTTTTGGAGGGTAGGCCAAGGGTTACAATCATTGGTGGGAAACGAAGGGTTGTAACCGTTGGGCACCGGGCGCATGCGAGGAGTTATGGCGGGAAACAGTTGTAGCCGCTGTGATAATACCAAAGGTTATAACCGTTAGGTATTAATGACGCATGAGAGGGGTTGCGCATCGCGGACCGTCGGATCGAAATGATCCAACGGCGCACAGGAGGGCGTCTCTTCAGATACTTACGAGAAACTCCTATAAATAGGTGTATGGGGGGTGGTCCCCAAAGACACTTATCAGTTACTCTGAGCCGAGATCGTTTGCATATGAGCACTCCACAGCGATAGGTCAAGTTCAAAACTCAGGTACGTAATGGCTAATCTAGGTGTTGTTCATGTTGACTCCTCTGGGGACGAAAGGGAATCTAGGTTGAGAGCGACGACGGACCGAGATGTTTCCTCGGCCTCGGCTTCAAATGGTGATAATACGGGATCCGTTCGATCTTGTTTCACGCTTCACAGTTGAGGAAGTATGTTCATGACCCGTGTCATGTAGTTGAGATGGGTGAGATTCAGGTCAAGGAGAACCTGACTTATGAGAAGAGACCGGTAGTTGTGATTGATTATAAGTTGAAGGAGTTGATGGGCAAGTCCACTGGATTGGTGAAGATCTTGTGAGATGCAACTACTGGTGAGACTACTTGGGAGATTGAGCAACTGTGTAGAGAGCAATATCCTTCTTTATTTCCAAGTAAGTCTATTTTCGGGGACGAAAATTCCTATTTGTTGGGGGGTATTGTAACGTAGCAAGTTATTTTAGAAGGCCCAAAAGCCCAATATGGGTGATTCAGTAGCCTAGAACGGGTCGTTCCCAAATTGGAACGGGCCGTTCCAAACTACTGAATTGACCTATAAAATGTAGTTGAGAACGGGCCATTCTGGATGGATAACGGGCCGTTCTGGAGGAAGTACGGGGCATTCTATAGGGGAGTACGGGCCGTTCTGGATGAATCCCAGAACGGGCCATTCTGGTTTCAGAACGGGCCGTTCTGCACATGATTTTTACACATGATGAAGGGGTGCAGAACGGGCCGTTCCGAATTCGGAACAGGTTGTTCTGGCCACTCCTGAATGTCTATAAATAGAGTTGGGTGGTTGAAGAGAAATGGAGGTTTTTAGAGAGAAGTTTTAGAGAGAAGGACTCTGGACTAGGAAGCTTGCTTTGGGTGGATTGAAGTTCCGGGTTGAGCTTCGAAAATGAAATTCCGCTTCTTGGCTATTCTGAGCCAATCTTCAGGTAAGGGAAGCTAGATTGTAAAGTTGTTGGTTGTATGTGAGTTGGGAACTCATTTGGGTACTTAGGTTGATTAGTATGGGTTGTATTATGTGATGAAAATATTGTGTGTTGCTAATATATGATTAAATATTTATTAATGAGGTTGTTGGAGATGCATGTTGTAGTTAAGTTGTGAAGTTGTTTACAAGTTGTGTGTTGATCTATGATATTGTTGAAGCTAGTTGAAATTAAGTTGATAAAGTTGCTATATGTTATGTGTGGACATGTATATGTTGTGAAGTGCATGATGATAATATTGTTAAGTTGTTAGAGAACTAAAAAAAATTCAACTACACGAGTTAATGACTTTTGGTCTTCCTTTTGACATATCATTCCTTCATATAAAATTTAAAAATATCAATTATTACAAATATGCTTTGGATGCTTAAAAATATTATAATATTTAGCTTTATTATTTTATGCTTAAATCTAATTTTGATCGAATAGTTATGTAAATGTACAAGTTAATCTCTTGAAATTTTTATTACAAATTTAGTTTCTTAATTTTAAAAATTAAAAAATGTTAATCTATTGTTATCATTTAATTCTAAATTAAATAAAAATACTAAGTTATTATTTATGAGAAACACTATCTCATAGTAATTTAGTCACAATGGTCTTCGTGTAATAAACATTGCTTTTATTTGCATATTATATATATAGGGAGCATATTAAGTGAGAGAGAATTTATTATGAAAGATGAGAGAGTTAAAATATAACCATTAGATTAATCAAGTGAGAGAAAATTTAGAGTTTAATCAAGTGAGAGGAAATTAATCTAAGGATTATATTTTAATTTTCTCATCTCTCATAATAAATTTCCTCTCACTTAATATGCTCCCTCTATATATATATATGTAACAAAGTCCTTACCCAGCATCAAGCGGGCTTTGCTCAGGCGGCTCGGCAAGCCAGCTATTTTGGGGACTTTCCTCCCGACTTCCATTTGGATATGACCAAGGATTTTTTCCAAGGGAAGTTGGTGGACCTGGCTTCTATTCCAGCCGACCAACCAGCCGATGAAGAAGCCCCGGCTCGGCCAACTGAGCCAATTGGGGAGGAAATGGCGTATGAGGAGGGTGCGCCTGAGGACGGCCCAGTGCAGGGGGAGGCCGAGGTGCAATCTTGAAATTTCTTCATGTTTGGCGAGTCGACAGTGCTCTTTTAATTTTTTTGCTTTTTGTATAAGTGGGTCGATAGTGCCCTTTGGTGTTTTTCCCGGCCGTTAGTGCCGTAATGAATTTTGATTTTTGATTATTGCTTAGTTGTACTTGCTTTGCCCCGCGTATTAAAATTTTGTAACAAGTTTGAACTTTAATAACAGTGACGTCCTTGGCCGAGAGGCATCTCGGGAAGGAAGACATTTTAATAAGCCACGTCCTTGGCCGAGAGACGTCTCGGGAGGGAAGACTTGTAAATTTAATAGAAGTCACATCCTTGGCCGAGAGACATCTCGGAAGGGAAGACTTGTAAATTTAATAGAAGCCACATCCTTGGCCGAGAGACGTCTCGGGAGGGAAGACTTGTAAATTTAATAGAAGCCACATCCTTGGCCGAGAAACATCTCGGGAGGGAAGACTTGTAAGAACTTTAATGGTAAAAATGTAAAGCAAGTCAAAGATAATTGAACTGTGTTGTAATTGATTGGATGCCTCATTAAAAACCTTGCCGGCCAAAACCTCTTTTCACGATTTTTTAAGAGGAGAAAAGACCGGTTTAAGGAAAAGAGTGCATCATTACACATAGTTGAAATGTAAATACATGAGGTTGATTCAACTGTAATATGTCTTCAAATGAGTAGAATTCCATGTCCGAGGAATGACCTTGCCGGACAATTCTTCTAACTTGTACGCTCCATTGTTGAGGACATGCCGTATCCAGAAAAGGGTCATCCCAGTTGGCTGATAGCTTCCCTTCTGAAGAGTTGCGTCTGGCTGACCCGGTTGCTCTCCATACAAGATTGCCTTCGTGAAATGTTCTCGGCTTAACACTTGAATTGAAACGGCGTGTCATGCGTTGGTTACATGCCTCGGCCACAATCTGTGCTTTTTCCCGTGCTTCATCAAGGACATCAAGCTCGGCTCGGAGCGAAGCATTGTTAGACTCCTCATGGAAGTGCTGTCTTCGGAATGATGGCTCTCCGACTTCAACCGGGATCATGGCGTCCGCGCCGTATGTCAGGCGAAAGGGTGTCTCTTTTGTTGCTGATTGTGGTGTACATCGATACGCCCAAAGGACCTCTGGCAACTCTTCGGCCCATGCCCCTTTTGCCGAACCGAGCCGTTTCTTTAATTCGGTGAGGATAACCTTATTGGCCGCTTCGGCCTGGCCGTTCGACTGGGGGTGTTCAACTGATGTAAACCTATGCCGGATGCCAAGGTTTTCAAGGAAAGAGTTGAACTTTTTGTCCGTGAATTGTAGGCCGTTATCCGAGATGATGGCATATGGGATGCCGAAACGGGTAACTATGTTCTTCCAGACAAATTTCTGGACATTAGCGGCGGAGATGCAGGCAAGCGGCTCGGCCTCAATCCACTTTGTGAAGTAATCGACAGCTACGAGGAGAAACTTAACTTGTCCCTTCGCCACCGGAAATGGGCCGAGTACATCAATGCCCCATAAAGTAAACGGCCATGGAGAGCT